AATTAAAGTTGCTAGGGATTCTAAAACTAACCCAAAAAGTTTTTTCCAGGTCTATAGAACAAAAGTTAGAGATAAGATAGGTCCCCTTAAAAATAACTATGGGCACCTTACTGACAAAGAGAATGAAATGTGCTTGATTTTAAATAATTATTTTCTCTCAGTTTTTACACAGGAAGACACTAACAATATTCCAGTAATTAATTTTTACAGTGGGCTAGAAGAAGATAAATTATGTAACATCACAGTCACTAGTGAGATGGTTGTGAAGCAGATAGACAGACTGAAGCAAAATAAGTCGCCGGGTCCTGATGAGGTTTTTTCAAGGGTTCTTAAGGAATGCAAAATGGAACTCTGTGAACCATTAACTAATATTTTTAATTTATCTCTTCAAACAGGTGTAGTGTCTGATATGTGGAAGATGGCTAATGTAACTCCTATTTTTAAAACAGGGGACAAGTCGTTACCGTCAAATTACCGCCCAATAAGCCTGACCTCAATTGTAGGCAAATTACTAGAGTCAATTATAGCTGAGATTATAAGAAGCCATCTCGATAAGCATAGCTTGATTAATGATACTCAGCATGGATTCACAAGAGGCCGGTCTTGTCTAACTAATTTATTAACTTTCTTCAGTAAAGCTTTTGAGGCTGTTGACCACAATAGAGAATTTGATATTATTTACTTAGATTTTAGTAAGGCTTTTGATAGAGTTCCGCACCATAGACTGTTAAAGAAAGTGGCAGCCCATGGCATTGGGGGAAAAGTGCTCTCGTGGATCGAGTCATGGCTCACTGACAGGAAGCAGAGAGTGTCCATAAATGGGGTTAAATCCGAGTGGGGATCTGTAACAAGTGGCGTTCCACAGGGATCAGTCTTGGGCCCGTTGTTGTTTATAATATATATCAATGATCTTGATGAGGGAATTACTAGTGATATGAGCAAATTCGCCGATGACACAAAGATAGGTAGGATAATTGATTCAAACGTAGATGTTATGAAACTTCAGGAGGATTTAAACAAACTCTATTCTTGGTCAGAAAAGTGGCAGATGCAGTTCAATGTAGATAAATGCAAGGTTCTGAAGCTTGGGAGTGCCCATAACCCCAGTACTTATAAGTTAAATGATGTAGAACTTAGCCATACAGATTGCGAAAAGGACTTGGGGGTTATGGTGAGCGGCAACCTTAAACCAAGACAGCAATGCCTAAGCGTACGTAATAAGGCAAATAGATTACTGGGATTTATATCAAGAAGTGTAAGCAACAGAAGTCCAGAGGTCATACTGCAGCTTTATACATCATTAGTAAGGCCTCACCTAGATTATGCAGCTCAGTTCTGGTCTCCGTATCACAAAATGGACATAAATTCGTTAGAAAACATTCAGCGTAGGATGACTAAATTAATACCTAGCATTAGAAATCTTCCTTATGAAGAAAGATTGAAGACTCTTAAGTTACATTCACTTGTTAGACGAAGAATGAGGGGAGACCTGATCGAAGTGTATAAGTGGAAGATAGGTATTAATAAAGGGGATATTAATAAGGTCTTGAGGATGTCTCTCCAAGAGAGAACCCGCAGTAATGGATTTAAATTAGATAAGTTTAGATTTAGAAAGGACATAGGAAAGTATTGGTTTGGAAATAGGGTAGTTGATGAGTGGAACAGTCTACCTAGTTGGGTTATTGAGGCTGGGACTTTGGGTAGTTTCAAATTTAGGTTGGATAAATACATGAGTGGGAGGGGTTGGATTTGAGTGGGACTTTCACATCAGAGCTTATTTCTTGGGTGGCATTGAAAATTGGGTTGGGCAAATGTTTTGTTAGTGGGATGAATTTTAAAGGACCTGCCTAGTATGGGCCAGCAGGCCTCCTGCAGTGTTCCTCCTTTCTTATGTTCTTATGTTCTTATTTGCTTTGTGGATCTTTTTGTTACATAGTCAGGCATATTTATAAGTGGTTCATTCCTCTAGCCTTATTATTAATACTTAAGTAATATAAAAATACATGTAAGCGTTTGTCTTCTACTTTTATCGCTGTTAATTATCAAACTTATAAATTAATGAAACATGTGTTGTGCAGTGTACAGTAAATGGACCAGTTACATGCGTATAACAGTTACAAAGTTGCATAGATAAGTAGCTAGGCATATATACATGCAGTTGCATACTCTAATATCAATATTAAAAAAAATTTAAATAAACATGTAATATTAAATGAGCACAACAAAACTGTGTTCACTCTCCCATCTGCAACACTGGTTTTAGTTCATGTCTTTTGTGAAGTATAAAGCAAGACTTTCGGATGATGGTTGTTAGTAATTTTGTACACAAGGTTAGATTCAGCTGCTTAACTCTGTTTTCCACTTTTAACACACCATTGCAGAAGATCATTCTACTTCTGAAAAGAAACTGAGCATTCGGGCGAGGTGATCACTCTGTTGTTACTGCTTCTGACACACCTCGTAGGTTAGCAATCCAAAACTAATGCTTCCATAAAAGGTGACTTATATTTAGCACGGAACACCATGAAGCTTAAAATGTTTTAGAGAAATTAGCAATAAAAAGGAAGGTAGATGCTAACCTTATATTCATTGAGCACTTCGCTTCCCAAGTAGTCAACAGAGGAGTTCGAGTGGACGTCGAGGAAGGACACTTGGCCAGACACAATCTGAAGGTGGATGTCACAATACTGGTTGTCAAAAGGGTAGAGTGTGAGGTCGAACTGGCAGGCGTAGACCGTACTGTACTTCCTGCTCACTGATAAAGGATTGTCTTCTCCTGAGTACATGTCCACTGTAGGAAGAGCAAACAGTCTCCGGTAAATGTATCAGTCATGATGCAAGTAAATAGCACCATGATAAATATTTTTTTAATGAAATTGGGTACATCAAGAATATGCTGCTACGCAATTTAACACCAGAGTTAAATAAAGAGAACAAAAACTAGCTATGTTTCCCTGTCATATTCCATCACAGGATGGTTTTTCACAGTGTTAAAATCTAGTACATGTCTAATGCGGAGACAATGCACATGATGTAGTATATATTTAGAGTGTGATACAAGTGAGCAGCACGATGTTAATTAATTATTTGAAGAAGAATGAATTTAAATTAATCTGTCTTTAAAGTAAATACTTTGTGTTTTAAATGATGCCTAACCTTCACCCGCTGCACCTTCGTCCCTGCCCAACGCTGCAGTTCGTCTTTCAATGAGAGTGTTGGCGTCTATGGCCAACAGTGCTTGATCGATGGTGTCTGTATTGAGTAGTTTCACCAGTGGGGACCACAACTTCATCATTGTGTCTAGACGTGGGCTGTTCAGACTGGCATTTGATTTAAGATTATAATATTGAAGCCTGTTATCAAACCAAATCATCTCTATTTCATAAGATAATTTCATGGACATTTGCACTGTTTGGACGTCTATAGATTTTATAACAACGTTTATAATAACAGGTAGCTTCGAGTCTTCCTTCCCTGGCACCCTCGGAGGCAAGTTCTGATGGTAGTCTTGGGGGAACAAGATGAGTTCACAATCCAGCTCGTCACTTCGATCTCTACAGTCATATTTAAGATCACACCGGTAGTGGTGAGGGATGCAGGTGCCGTCGTCACATGTATAATGATCAGAGCGACAAGGTGTGAGCAGCATGCGACGTCGACCACCACTTTCCTGGCCACACACTTCTCTCTCCAGCTGCCACCATCTGCGACCCATTGGAAAGTCAGGATCAAATAGTTCCATTTTAGCTATGGTGTAGTTTTGCACTGCATTGATGTATATCCAAGTTCCATTCACTTTCTTAATGTGATTAGATCCGTAGCTCCTGAAGATCAAGCCACCATATTCTTCCTGATATACCACAAAGTAAACATTACGGAGTTCTGGTTCACAACTGCCGAGTAAGGAAAATCTCTGAGGTTCAGTAAATGTACAAAGTGAACATCTCTTCCAGGCACAGTCATCGTCAATAAGGCCGTCTCGCCGTATCGCTGCACAGTTTTCATATCTATAACCATTAGGCTCGTCAGGGCACCAGTAGGAGGAATTATCAATGTAATTTTTATCATAAGAAGCTACCCACACATTCTCTTCCTTCTTGTCATTGAGAGGGCTCCAGATGTAGACCGGACAATGGTCACTGTCCGGCCACATGGTCTCCAGTAATTTGTAGTAAAATTCGGCTTCGTCTAAGCTGGTAACATTAGGCAGGTGGGTGCCCAAAGCCTCACACAGGTACTGAGCAGTGTCGTCCGTCGTATCAGGAAACCAAAAGTATATGTTACCTACTTCATGCTGGCAAAATTTTTCCAGTGACATGTTGTAAGAAGATACATTGTAGAGCGTCCATCCAGCCTCCCACGAGATGAAGTTTCCCTTAGGATCAATTTGACAGGTTGCCATCTTCTGGATATCTTCCTTGCTTAGAACTTTATCCCATACGTTGACCTACAAACATGCATCAATAATTTAATTAAAAATATTATAAAACATATTATTAATTTTCGTAGGTTGCTATGTATTATGCGAGAGAATGTTGATTCACAGGGCGTCTGGCCTGGTTAGCACCTGAGTGATGTCTCCACTGAAGCTTTCCTCAGAGGCCCTTCCGTTGCCCAGCATCACCTGGTCACCATATGCCGGCCGACTAATGTTGTAGTAGCTGTCCTTCATCTGTACTCCGTCTAGGAACGTCTGAATCAGGGAGGTGAGTTGGTTATGGACGAAGCACAGATGGTACCATCTGAAAAAATATTTATTTAATGCGAGAAAGATAACGTTCCTGAAGAATAAATGAAGCATAGTTCCTAAATATCCACAGCTGACAAAACTTCACACGACCAACTTGTAAAGATCTCTTATCTCGAGGGTTAACAAAAAGTGTTGTAATAGATTATCACTTTGTGAATAGTAGGCTTTCATGGGCAGTATTATTATATACATGGCAATGCATCCGCAAGAGTCATATGTCGTTTGGGAAGTGGGAGGATATCAGGTTTAA